CATGCCAAGAGGAACAGAAGGAGCCCACAGATGAGTAACCGCACACACTGCAGCCTCTCCGAGTATTTTTAACTGCTAAAAATACTGGCTAAAAATAGCCAGCAAGCTCCAAACAAGATACTTTCTCTAAGGCAGATTCCTGTGGGCAGATAGGTGAGGGAGGTGGAGCATCAGAAGTAAAGCTCAAAGACCCCCTGGTCCTCAAGCATTGCTGCCCTTAGGGCCAGAGTAGTACACTCACCCTCATATCAGCTGAGCACCTGTTTCCTCACCGCCCTGTTACTTTCTCCCACCTTCCAAAATGTCAAAATTTGAGATTCCATCAGAGATGGAGTCGAGTAATTGGTTAGAAAAGGCCAAAAATGTTCTTTCCTGAGGCCAAAAGAACGATGACCTCTTGTACCTTATAAAATACGAGCATTGGCTCTAGATAAAAGGGAGTTAAGGTACTGGTGCCAGACTAGGACTGGGGGGAGGAGGAAAGCTTAGTTCCAGAGCCATGGAAATGATCTTCTTAACCTGGGCTGGTCAACCCCCTCGGACCTTGTGGATGTTGAGCTTCAAGAGGGTCTTAGGACCCCCTGAACGCTATACAAAAGTTTGCACGTACGTGCATTTTTCCCTGAAGAGAGCACCGACCTTTCATCAGTCCTCAAAAGTTAGGAAATGCGTGCTGCCCTGGAGGACGCTCACCCGGTTGACACTCGTTCTTGGGGATGTGTCCTCTGCGAGCCCTAAAGATAATTTCTCCAGAATCCCAACCCCGACGCTGGTTCCGGCTTCCGGGCTCCGCGCTGCCGTCTACGCTCCCGGGGCCTACAGCTCTTTGAGGAGGGCGGGCCTGGCTGGGGGTCAGCGGGCTGGGGGAATCGCCAGGGTGGGGGGGGCGGGGCAGGCCAGGCAGCCTCATTCGGGTTCGCCCGCCCGTGCCTGGGGGCGTGGCCGGAGGCGTGGTCCCGCCCCTGGCGCTGACGTCGCGCGGCTGGAGCCGCCCGCTGGGCCGCCTGTTGGCCCGAGCACGAGAGCTGGTTGCCGGGGCGGTTGGCGGCGCGCACCGGGGAGGTTGAGGCTGGTGGGTCTCGCGCACCCGGAGGAGCGCGCGCTCGGGCCCCCTGTAGCGGTTACTGCTGGGCGCCGCGGACTGTGTGCTGTGTGGCCTGGCCAGCCTTGGAGTACGGGCTGTGGAACCGCGCGGGGACCCCCCGTGCCCCTTAGCCAACGTTAGGTGTGGGGCCGAGCCCGCTGCCCGCTCCCCAGCATGCGCACCTCGTACACCGTGACCCTGCCCGAGGAGCCCCCCGCCGCCCCCTTTCCCGCCCTCGCCAAGGAGCTGCGGCCGCGCTCCCCTCTCTCCCCTTCCCTGCTGCTTTCCACCTTCGTGGGGCTCCTGCTCAACAAAGCCAAGGTACGCGGGACCCTTTGCCGGGACCCTCACGCCGCCGACCCGGGGACCCGCCTCCTCCCCGGGACGCTTCCCCCACCCGCCCTCCACGCGCCCCTCAGCTCGGGGACGGATTCTTCCCAGCCCCCACCCCTCCCTTTCCCACGGTCTCCCGGCAAGGAATGCCCCCTCCCCAGGTGATCCCACGCTTACTCGCGGCCCCCTCCCCTTGTTGAGGTCCCAGCCTCTGAGTACCTGGAGTACCCTTTCCCCTCCCTCCTTCTCCCCCGCGACCCCGGCACCAGGTGGCTCTTAATTCCTAGTACCTATCAGGACAGGTGCAGGAAAGCGTAACCTTGACTTATTCTCGGTGTGTGAGGGGACGGGCAGCACGCTGGACTCTGCGGGTGTGACTCCTCCAAGGCCAAAACCCCGCGAGAAAGGCTGGTCAGAAAGGGGCTGCCTCCCCTCTCACTGTTCCCAAAGGGCTCTGAGGATTGGTAACAGGGGTCCCTTGACCCTGTGAAGGGCAGAGGAGTTGCAGAGGTGAAACAGGGCAATTCCCTTTTCTTTCCTCCCTTCTCTAGTTCTGCTAAGTGGACAATGGTTCCCTCTAATGAAGTCACCACCCCAGAGTAATGCTGGGGCTACATGCTGGGCACTGCCCCCTTGGGGAAAGGAGAAGGGGCCAGAGCTTGACGGGTCTTATGTAACACGCACCAGTTCCCGTGTTGGCAGTGCGTGCACTGCCCCGTGCCAGAGCCACACCAGGCTCCTTGGCTGCAGCCGGGACTCATGGCTGACCCTCACCGCACAGGTGAAGTAAGCAGGAAAGCCCTTTACTGGAGTCTTGAGTGTGAAGGCACAAACCTCAGTCAGCCTTTCTTATGGCCCCTATGCCCGGATGTTGCCTCCTCATTAGCCCAGAGAGAGGTCTTTGCGAGCCCCCTCCTCCTTGGATGGAAGGTGAATGCCCTGTGTTTACTGATAGAGAGGTGGCATCTACTCTCCAGAACAATTTTGCTACTAAGTCAAAATTAGGTTTGCTGGTGGCTTAATTTTAAGGAGGTTCTTAGTCAAAACCTTCTCAACCCTTTACACATGAGCTTCAGCCTAACAGCTGGAGTCATTTCCTTCTCTCCCAGTGCAAGCCAAGCTGGGCAGGGTCTCGCTCAACTTCTCCAGTTCTATTCTCTCCCTGTCAGCCCTGAGGTAGGATTGTTCCCCCACCCCCACCCCCATAAGAAAGGTCATTCCTGGGACATTTTGTTCCTCTCTGGAATGGAAAGTGCTGACTTTCCCTGGAGCCCCTGATTTCCTATTCATGGCAGAAGAATATCTGGCTGGGCATGAAGCAGTCTTCTTACTCTCCCAACCTCCATTCCCACCCCCTGACTTCTGTTATCCAGCAGCCTTTTACACAGCACTTAAAAATTGGCAAGTGGTTTTGAGTTCAGGAAATTTTAGACAAAGGCACGACCACCACCCTGAACAAAAACTAACAAAGGGTCCTAGCAGTTCCCTAAAGGAGCCTCCACCATCTTCCCACTCCCAGGTCAATAGAAGTGTTAGGCTCTCAAGAATAGTAACCCTGGGTGATGATGACATGTTCTTCTTGACCCTCACTCTGCAAGAGTGTCAGCATCGTGTTAAAACACCACAGGAGTGCCTCAGTAGAACGATGACACCAGTTTCTCCATTCCCCCACCCTAATTAGTGCTATTGTTTCAACTGAGGGTCCACTTTGGTGGACACTGACATAGTCACCAGTAGAAGAATGCTTTGTTTCTCCAGCCTGTTTAGACAAATGTTGTGTGAAGCACAGGGTTAAGAACTAATAAAGCACTGCCAAAAATAGGTTTAAGAGTAGGTATTCTGTTGTGAACAGGCTTTAACATTTAGCTTTGAATGGGTAACATGGAGACATCTGCAGTGTTTTGCTGGACCTTGTGAGGGTCCTTCACCAACCAGGTCTACCTGACAATGGTGATAAGGTCTCTGTCCCAGGGAACTATCTCTGTGGTGGCTCTCTTACTGGAACATTAGGGTTCAGACTGTCAGGTAAGATTCAGGTTTTGTGTTTGGGACCATATATTGCTAGCCCTGGCAGAGAGAGTTCTTCAGTGATGCTTATACCCTACCTGCTGCCAGTAGGCTTTCTCTCAAGCTGCAAGATCTTTTCTGGATATGTTTTCTTCTCCACCTGTTAGTATTAGGCCCGGTAACTCGGAAGGGAAGGGATCCTCTTATGGGGTCAGCAAGGGAATTCTCGAGAAAGCCCTCCCTGAGCCTGCTTCTCCCCGCACCCCACCCTCCCTAGAGCTGACAACCTCATGGGCTCTGAGCTGCTGACAGCCTCATAGGCTGTCAGCTCACACGGCATGAGTAATTTTAGCGGAGTTATTTCAGGCTCCTGTTCTGATCAGGGTTGAGCTGGCCCCACGCATGCCCCAGCCAGTGTTGCTCCAGAGTTGCCTGCTCCCAGGTCCCCTCCCTGAGAGAGGGGGTGGCAGACTTATCTGCAAACTGCTTCTTTAACCCTTTGAGTCCTAAGGTTATCTGACTCCTTGGAGGTATGCTCTGGATTAGCCAAGAGACCTTAACAAAGAGTGTCCAGAGTCTTTGACCTAGCACCTGTTCTCCCTCCAACCCCCTCACCAGCCTCCACAGTAGGGACAAGAGCAAGAGTAGCACCTTCAGCAGGTGGCGCTTACCTCTGCTTGACCACAGTCTGCCATCACATGCGTTCCCAGCCAGTGGCCAGTCAGGATGTGGAAACGAGGGCATCTAGAATGGTTTGTTCTGGTTCGAACCACTGCTGAGAATTTGAGTTTCTAACAAGTTCCCACATGTTGTACATAAGAATCACCTGGGGATCTTGTTAAACTGTAGATTCTGATTCAGTATATCTGGGTTGGAAATGCAAATTCTCAGCAGGGAACTTGTTAGAAATACAAATTCTCAGCAGGAGTTCAAATTGGAACTAACTGGTTTGAAGCCTTGGCTGAAACTTGAGTCAGCCAGGGAGGATTCTCCTAGCCTGTAATCAGCCCTTAGAAGCTGATCTCAGCTGGAAGGAATTCCACCTGTCCCTAGCAGTTTGGAATGCAGGCAGACATGAGTTTTTCTCAGCTGAGAATCTAAACTCAGTTAAAGGAGTTTTGTCCTTTAACTTTTCAAGACCTTGAAGTGCCTGTTATGACAGCTGCTTCTTATGTTGGACATCTAGGGGTCATTTGAGATAGCACCTGGATTTGAGACTTGACATTTCCTGTAGCCAGGAGTCAACTATGTATCCAAATATATGAATTTCTAGTCTCTAGTTCTAATCTTTAGTCTCCACAATGACAGAGAATGAAGAGTAGTATAAAAATGGGAGGAAATCGTATAGTCAGTAAAAGGAAGCAGAACCCTGAGGAGTATTTTTGTTGTGTGTTGAAAATGACAGACGTTCTTCAATCCTCTTTTCTATAGGGTTCATAGACTAAGGTTGTAGAGAGGATAGTACGTGCGGCCTGATGCTCATGGCTCCAAGTGGCAGAAAGTTGCATAAGAGAGCCTAGCACAGGCCCAGCCCCCTTGTCTTCAGTCTTATATACTGTATGTTTTTTGCTTACAGAATTCTAAGAGCGCCCAGGGTCTGGCTGGTCTTCGAAACCTTGGGAACACGGTGAGTTCTTCCCAGCCCACTTCTTTCCTGGGGCCACCCCCAGGAGCTCTAACCAGAGTTCCCTCCTGCTCCAGCTGACTCCCTACCCTCTAGACCAGTTGGTACCTGCCATTCTGTCTGGTATTTCAGAGTTACTGGGCTCTGTCTCATCCCTGCCCCTTAAAGGAAGCGCTGCTAAAGGGGAGTTGCCCTTTTATCTGTCAGCTTAGCTACTTTCCTGGATCCTTCTCCTCAAGGACATCCATCACTTCCCACTTCTGTCCAATTCACCCACACGCTTTTGCACACACACCTGTACAGTAAACAAGCAGTTTTGTCACCTGTGCAGTAGGTGGCTTCTGAAAAGAGGAACTTGAGCCTGGGGGAGGAGTCATTTCTGGGATGGATGAGCGAGCCAGAGAGCTTTTGGTACTAAGTAAACAGGGATGCCAGACAGGGCTCTTGTCTCCCCCACTGATTATCAGGTCATCTTTTGCAGTGCTTCATGAACTCGATTCTGCAGTGCCTGAGCAACACCCGGGAGTTACGCGACTACTGCCTGCAGAGGCTCTACATGCGAGACCTCAGCCATAGCAGCAGTGTACACACAGCCCTCATGGAAGGTGGGGAGCTGTCCGTGAGCGTGGTCCTGTTTCCGCTGGACACTTTTTCCACTCTACTCTTGCTGTTCTGTTGTTGTTAGGTGCCATCGCGTCGATTCCAACTTATAGCGACCCCATGTGACAGAGTAGAACTGCTCCATAGAGTTTTCTTGACGGTAATCTTTACAGAAGCAGATCTCCAGGTCTTTTCTCTCGTGGAGCTGCTGGATGGGTTCAAACTGCCATCCTTTCAGTTAGCAGCCGAGCAGTTAACCATTGCACCACCAGGACGCCTCTTGCTGTACTAGTAGTTGTCTTTTATATGTACCTGTCCTGTTTTTCTGTCTTTGGGTGCTTTTTGTGGGGTTTTTAGTTTCGGAGTTTCTTATAGAGAATCTCTCACCTGTCCTGCACACCCTCACACCCTCCTCTACCCTCTCCTCAAACAGAGTTTGCAAAATTAATCCAGACCATATGGACATCATCCCCCAACGATGTGGTGAGCCCATCTGAGTTCAAGACCCAGATCCAGAGATACGCACCGCGCTTCGTTGGCTATAAGTAAGGGCCTTGCAGACATGTCCTCCCCAGGGTGGGTGGCAGCAGCAGTAGGCTCTTGGAACAAGAGACGTTGCTCACTCTCTCTTCTTTGGGCTCAGTCAGCAGGACGCTCAGGAGTTCCTTCGCTTTCTTCTGGACGGGCTCCACAATGAGGTGAACCGAGTAACAGTGAGGCCTAAGTCCATCCCTGAGAACCTCGATCATCTTCCGTAAGTAAGAGTGATGTGGGGAAGTAAAACTGTTGTGAAATTGAGTTTCTTACCTACCTCTTTGGGGATAATGGGAGCCCTGGAGGAGCAGTGGTTAAGAGCTCATCTGCTAACTAAAAGGTCAGCAGTTTGAATCCACCAGCTGCTCCTTGGAAACCCTGTGAGGCAGTTCTGCTCTGTCCTGTAGGGTCACTATGAGTCAGAGTCAACTCAACAGCATTGGGTTTGGTTTTTTGTTTGTTTTGAGGATAATGATTTGGGGAGAATCAGGCCTACTTTTGAATGTTAAGGATCTAGATTGACAGACCTTTAAAGTTGTTATGGTTTGTTCTCTGACCCAATTGTCTTCCTCTCTGTGGTTCCTAGTGATGATGAGAAAGGGAGACAGATGTGGAGGAAATACCTAGAACGGGAAGACAGTCGGATTGGGGGTAAGTGCATGGATGGGGGATGTCGGGAATGCCTACTTTCACTGTTACCTGCCTTTGCCTGAGAAGAGCATGAAAAGCCCTAAGAGTCATTCTCCAGGGCACACTGTTTTTGCCCACTGCCCAACAACAGGGAAAGAAGACACCATGCAGAAGACCATGTGTGCGCCTCCCTGTTTAAGCATTTCATGTCCGTCTCTTCCCCAGATCTCTTTGTTGGACAGCTAAAGAGCTCCCTGACGTGTACTGATTGTAATTACTGTTCAACAGTCTTTGATCCCTTCTGGGACCTCTCACTGCCCATTGCTAAGGTATGTACCCCTGTTGCCCCACTTTTGAAACTCACACTCCTAGCCTTTCATGTCTCTGACCTTTACTTTTTTTGGCTCCCAGCGAGGTTACCCTGAGGTGACATTAATGGACTGCATGAGGCTCTTCACCAAAGAGGATGTGCTTGATGGAGATGAAAAGCCAGTAAGTCGCCCTTCCATCCGTAGTAGGGCCCCTCTGGGGAAGGTGCTGATACTGCAGATCCAGCCCAGGAGTTGCTGCGTTCGGGCCCTGTTGACGTATCCCACAGGTCCTTTCTAGCTCTGTTTGTCTTGTCTTTCAGACATGTTGTCGCTGCCGAGCCAGAAAACGATGTATAAAGAAGTTCTCCATCCAGAGGTTCCCAAAGATCTTGGTGCTCCGTATCCTTATGATTCATCAGCGCAGTAATCTGGACCTTGGAGGTTGACTGATGACAAGGGGCCCGACGGTGAGGGTGAACAGAGTAGGGAAAAATGAAACCCGATAGATTTTTCTCTTATTGTTTGCTTCCTCAGAAGTGCAGTTGCCCGTTTGGGATTCTCACCTCATTTAGCTTGCCTCTGTGCTTGCTGCCCTGTTTGTCCTTGACTCACAACAATACCAGATCTGAAGCGGTTCTCAGAATCCAGGATACGAACCAGCAAGCTCACAACATTTGTGAATTTCCCACTAAGAGACCTGGATTTGAGAGAATTTGCCTCTGAAAACACCAGTGAGTATTTTTTCAGCAGGAAGGAGAGACGGCAGGAGAAAAAGGAGCCAGGGACGTGTGTCTCAGATACAGGTGGGAGGCAGAGAAGTAGAGGGAAGCTGTGAAAGAGTGAGTTAAGGAAAGATTTGGAGTCAGGCAGGAGGGAAGGGATGTAAGGGCAACGAATGCCTCAGAGGCTTAAAACCTTGTATTTCCTCCTCAGACCATGCTGTTTACAACCTGTATGCTGTGTCCAATCACTCCGGAACCACCATGGGTGGCCATTATACAGCCTACTGCCGGAGTCCAGTGACAGGCGAATGGCACACTTTCAATGACTCCAGGTGAGAGAGAAGTATTGGGCAGGCCACCTGGCTGTCAGACACCTGTACCTTGCCTAGCTCTCTGGCTTCTACCTTGACTAGACAGAAAAGGTCAGACCCAAAAAGCTATGTCACATGTATGAGTCTCCTGCCCATTTGACGAATCTCTAAAAGATAACCAGAGAGTGTGGCTTTGGGTGTACAGTAGAGAGGTTAAAGCCCACTTGGCTGTGCCCCCAATGACCTCCTCTCACCAGGGCTCTGACTGTACCCTGCTCTCTCCACAGCGTCACGCCTATGTTCTCCAGCCAAGTGCGCACCAGCGACGCCTACTTGCTCTTCTACGAACTGGCCAGTCCACCCTCCCGTATGTAGCAGCAAGGAGCTACATCCCTTTCACCCTCCCCCGTGGTCGCCCCACACCCCAAGTTTTTTAAAAAGATCAAAAAAAAAAAAAAAAAAAAAAACAAATGAGAGAAATAAACTAAGATAAAGCTGCCGAGCAGGAGTTGATACGGCCTGGTCAGGGTTGGAGCAAGGAGCCAGGTGCTCCTGAGCCATGGCCTGGTGGGGAAGATCAACAGGACGGACGCGGAGACCAGAGTCAGCACTGCGCTCCCTCGGCTTCTCTTATTGTCACTGTTTAAGCTTGTGGTTTTTCCTGTGTGTAATAAACAACAGCGGTCTATGGGGAGAAGATCCTCGTCCGCCCGCTGTAGTCTCCAGTTCCTGCGCCTCCTGAGAAGACAGCGCCCTCTGGAGCGTAACGGGAGGATTGCTGCCTGGAAATGCTGGCTTCCGCTGGAACAGCCCAGTGCCAGTCTTCACCTGGACAGTGCTTACTGGTCCAGAAGCAAGAAAAACACACATGAGCCAAGAGCCCTCTTAACGCTGCTGACTCCAGGGGGACAGACTAGGGGACATCTCTGAAACAAGCTCTTTGGTTTTTAAAAGTCCAACTTTTTTTTTTATTACCATAACTGAAGTTCTCAGACTGGAGATGCTCTCCTTCACACCTCTTCACAGCTGGGATGTTGTGCTGGTCTTTTTTTTTTTTTAATCCTTCAGATACAGCTTTTCTAATGCTAGCCCCCAGTGGTGCTAGGTGGGCGTTGGCCAGGCCCCAAGCACAGCCACGGTAGACCTGGGATCTAACACGGTTTTTGGTTTTTTTGTTTTGTTTTGTTTTGAATGTTTTAGATGGAATCTAGTTGCCTCCAAGAATTGTGCCTTATAGCGTTTGGGGACCAGGGGGTAATTGCCCTCCCTGAAATATCCCTCAGCCTCTTCCCTTTTCCCCAGTGCCATGTTCAGACCTGCTGAGGGGAATAGGGGTCATGCCCTTAAACCCCTGGCTTGGTTTGCATTGCAGTGAAGTGAAGAGGAAGATAGGTAAAAGGAGATTTCTTACAATATTGTATCAAGTTCTTCCAGCCCACTTCCTTTAACCCACCCCTGGTCTACTCCTCAGCTGTTTGAAGGATAGCATAAGCCCTGTATCCCTAGAGCTTCACTCACCTTTAATTTATTCCCTTAACATCCTTTTGCTCCCTGACCTTCCTGCCACCTGCCCTGGCCCCTGCCTTCTCAGAGCCTCTACACATGGGCCCTTTGGACCAAGTTTCTCAGGGATGCCTTTGGTGCCTCTCGGCATCAGTCTTCAGTCCACCTTGGGAGCTGGAACCTGGGTGTTTGGGGACATCTTGCCTCAAGTCATATGATTCTCTCCCATGAGCTTGATTTTGCTCTAAGTAGTTGGACAAAGCTTTGTTGTCCCAGAGAGCAAAACTGTTGAGCACTAAGGCATGGAGCTCTAAGCATCTTTGCACCCCCACACCGCTGGGCCTGGCTTGTGTCCTTCGGAGCCTGAGCATTCCCGGGATCCTGGGAGAAGGCATCAGAGAAAGACATCCTAAGTTTAGCTGGCCTGACACCCTTCTCCAGGGAAGACGTGAACCTGAGCCAAAGGGTTGGTGCACACTTGTTTACTATGTAAGCAAGAGTAGAAGGATGTCTGATGTACAGTGGAACCTTGTACAGAATAAAAAGTAGCTTTCAGAAACAAGTTGAGGAGTGACGGCATCTTGATTTGGGAGGGGTTTGAACCCAGGAAGGGCTCCTTGCATATCAATTCTACCACTTCAACCAGATGGTAAATTCCAAGTTCTGGAAAAAGTCAACTACCCACTTTTTAATTTTAAAACGTTCAGTTCTACAAAAAAAGCTGAAATACATTTTTAACACTCTTATGCTTCACCTAGATTCACCAATTGTTAATATTTTGCCACATTAGTTTGTATATGCTTCATTCTTTTGGCCAAAACATTTAGGGGTAAGAGGTTCTCTCTCCACTTCTGAATACTTATCATCTAAGAATAAGGGCATTCTCCTACATAACCTCAACACCATTTTCACGCCTAAGGAAATTAGCATATCTAGTACACATTTCTTTAAATGAGCTGTCCACTTTTTTTTACCATTTCATATTGGACAGCTTTTTTTTTAATTGTGAATATACACAAAAATTTTGTCACTTCAGCATTTTTACGTGTAATTCAGTGACATTATTTTCATATTGTTCAACCATCACCACTATTTCCAAAATTTTTCCATCATTCATCAAATGTTCAGTGGCCCCAAGCAATGACTTCCTCCTTCTCCCTCCCTCCATTCCTGGTAACCACTAATAAACTCGTTTCTGTACATTTGCCCATTCTACATATATAGGTGAAATCAATATTTGTCCCTTTGTGAATGACTTATTTAACTCAGCATGTTTTCAAGGTTCATGTTGTAGCATGTATCATAACTTCATTTCTCTTTATGGCAGAGTAATTCTCCATTGTATGTATGTACCACATTCTATCTGCACATCTGTTGATGAACATTTAGGCTGTTTCAACCCTTTGACTATTGTGAATAGTGCTGCAGTGAACATTGGCGCACAAGCATCTGCAACACTGCTTTCAAGTTTTTTGGGTCTATACCTAGGAGTGGAATTGCTGGATCATAGGGTAATTCTATGTTTATCTCTTTGAGGAACTTCCAAACTGTTTTCCACAGAGGCTATATGAACTGCATGCTTTTTAACTGCTGATATGAATACTCTCATGGTTCTTTGTTAAAACACTTGGGTGCCTCTACAGGCCTATGAGGAGCTAAAACGTAGCTCTCTCCAGCAGATTCTGAATACAACAAAACATGCCCGTAGAGCAGAGTGGCTATGCCTGGAAGTGGAGCAGTCAGGACTCGGTCCTTGATACAGATCTCAGTTTTCTCCACAAATACCTGGAAACAGCTGCCTTGTGTTAAAAGTTTTGTTCTCTAAAGTGCTTTTATCAAGACTTCATGCAGATTTGACCCCTTAAAGAGATTGCCTCTTTGGGGCACTCAGGGACATTGTCTCCCTTGGTTTTAATTCTTACTACTGTTCAGCTTCTCCCATTTCTGCCACCAATCTCAGACCTGGGAAAGCTGAATTCTCTGCCAGTTGAGCTTTGTTAGGGATGCTCCCTAACTGCCGTCACTACTCCAGTCACTGAAAAGTCATGAAGGCCTATCTGTTCCAAACTCGAGGAGACGAAAGCAGCTGCTGCAATTGGAGGCCTGTGTGCTGCTGTCCATCCCCCTCATGGGGTGAGACAGGAACAGGAACAATCTTCTGGGCATTTCCCAAGAGTGGAGAAGAGAGATTGAAAACAACAGTGACTAAAACCATAGGATCTCTCCCTGGGGGCCTCAGAAACTTCCTTGGCCTGCCCTGGGAGTGGCCTGGCCCAGGATAAGATTTCAGTGCTGAGGATTTCCCCTAAACCACAGGTGAACAGGATCCCCTTCAAAATGGAGCCAGTAGGTTTACAACAATGTGGATGGGCCAGCCTCAAATAAATGTAAGTTGCTATACCTCTCCTTTGACTAGTTTTTCACTGGAGGAGGGGGCCACCCGTGCATTTTTGTTGCCTTCCACTAGCAAACAGCCAGACTATAGTTAACCTCCAGGGCAGGGGCTCACCTCCACCCTTGCCCCCAGCTCTCCCTTCAGTACTTAACCTGTGGTGCTCTCTGATCACCGTGGCAACCAGCCCAAGTTCTACACAGATTCCAAACAAACAGATCAGTCCCCATGTTTCTGTGTCTGTCAAGCTTTGCCTCCTAGCAACTTGGATTTTCCCCCCACTCGCTGCTCTGTTCCACAGGCCTCTCCCTAGGGGAGGTGCTCTCTCTGCAACTGCTCTTGTGTGACCTTGAAAAAGAAACTCCCTCTTTCTGGGCCTTGGTGCCTGTCTTAGTTATCTAGTGCTACTATAACAGAAATACCACAAGTGGATGGCTTTAACAAACTGAAACTTATTTTCTCACAGTTTAGGAGGCTGCAAGTCCAAATTCAGGGTAATGGCTCTAGGGAAAGTCTTTCTTTCTCTGTTGGCTCTGGAGGAAGGTCTTTGTCTCTTTCTTTAGCTTCTGCTTCCTGGTTCCTCAGAGATTTCCACGTGTCTTGGCATCTATCTTACCCCATCCCTCATGCTAGCTTGCTTGCATTTTTTCTCTTTCATATCTCAAAAGAGATTGACTCAAGATACACTCTACACTAATCCTGTCTCATTAACGTAACAGACAACCCATTCCCAAACAGGATTATAACCATAAGCATAGAAGTTAGGATTTACAACACATATTTCTGGGAGACATAATTCATAACATTCCACACTTTGGCCCCCCCAAAATTCATGTGCCTGCCACATGCAAAACACATTCACCCTGGGACTTCTGGCAAAATGGCACTCTAGGCAGAAGCACCACACCGTCCCTCCATAGCAAAGATCCGAAAAACTAAGCCGAACAGAGAAAACAACAATCCTGAAACCCTAAAACATCAAATGAAGAGATAAAGAACTCAGCCAAGCACCAAATGGAGTGAGAAAACTGACAGAGAACGGAGAGCGACGAGAGATTCATGCAGAGGTCCCCTATCAGCTAATGCAGCATGGATCCGCCGTCCTGGACTCCTATCGGAGACCAGCAAACAGGGTGTATGAGAAAGCAGCCTCACGGAGCATCCAGCGGGAGACAAAACAACCGGTAATTTGTGATATACGCTTTCCCACCCCCCACCCTTCTTCACCCCCACTCGGTCTCCTCTGCTTCCCACGGCCACAATCTCTTGACCGGGAAACACCAGCCGCTTGGATTCCACACACCCGAACGGGCCGGCTCTCTGAGTGCCATTTGTTGGCTGCTGGTGTTGCTTTTTCCCGCTTCTCTTTATTTCTTCCTTACCTCTCACCACCTCCCCCTCCTTTCACTCAAATACCTAGCTCCGTGCGCCATCTTTGCTTCTTCCTGAGGGGCTGCAGAGCTCCGGTAATTTGTGATATATGCTTTCCCACCCCCTACCCTTCTTCACCCACACTCATCCTCCTCTGCTTCCCGCGGACACAGT